GGGGGGCGTCATACTGCATCCCAAATGCAATCCTTCCTACTTTCTCGAAATTATAGTACATAATTGATTAGGATGCGATCGTGCATAAATTAATAACATTCTCTCCAAACAACTCTCACATGTTTTTTGTTGTTGTTTTTTTTTAGTGTTTAAAAAAAATTATTTATTGTTTGGTGCTTGCCCCGATGAAATTACAATACCGATATCCTGCAAATTGCGTGCTCAGAAACATGAAATAACAGCTTGTGCGGTTTTGATGTCCTTGTGAATATCGTATTTCTCTTTGTCTTGCGGTTGTGACACTCGCTCTTGGAACACCTGTCTTTCTGCTGCTGAGACTTTTATAATAGGGTCCAGTCCACGTATTTAAGTAGTTGGGTGTGTGGGATGAGGGCGGACCAGAAAATCGGTTCTGACAATGTTCGCGACTTATCTTAATGAAATGGCCTTGATTATAATTGCATTTCCGTTTTGGCATGATATTATCTACCAAACCTGCGTCTCTGATGTAGCGGTTAGGTTCTTTGCCGTTGCTAGAAGACAACGTGATTTTGATTCTCAAGTGGGGATTTTTTTAAACCGAGTATCTCTGCTGTAAGTTGTATTCCTCTCAGACCTGACAGAAACTGTCGAAGTAGTCCGCCCCCTAAATGACTCAAGTTGTGTCAATGGAGGCGTAAAACATTTGCATTTTAAAAGTTTCTCTAAACAATCGCTCCAAATTAATCATCTATCAGAGAGCAAGGAAACTTTCGAAGTTATCTAATGATCTGTTTTTGAAAAGAATAGGGATTCAAGTGCTAGAGGGTTCCACTTTGTCGTCGTTATCTTTTTGGAGAAAGAATATTCTCCTAATTTGCGCTCCCTTTTTTTTTTTTTTTTGGACTTGAGAGCTACTTCACCCCCAAGTTGCAATCGACGTGATCCAGGGGTAAAAAAGCCAACTCACTTGATCTGGGCGGCGGGCGGATCGTGTTTCGTTTTGGTAAGAGTGTTGCAACAGCGGAAAACTGGCTTGTGCTATCCTTGCCATTCTGGGAACTCTACGCCAGCTTCAATTTTTTTAACGTCATTATTCTCAGAAGTGTAATAAACTACAGGTGTTGCGGAATTGTTTTAAATGACAAGCAACGTTGAAGTTGAAGCAACCTGCTTCAGAAATGATCTGAACTGTGCCAATGGCGGTGTAAATTTTTTATTGCTGTCTGAATGCATTACGTCCACGATATTACAAAAAATACTTGTTTTCCCTTTTTCTTGCGAAAAGACATTTACGGATTCTGAGTTGCCTAGTACTGCGATGACAGTTCAATGATCCATATGCGTTGATTGGATCGTAAAGAAAAAATGTCTGGAATACAGGATGCGCCCCCCCCCCCCCCAGCGAAATGTGTTTTTGAATACATAAATTACACCTCAGTCATAGTGAATTTGAAATTAAAATTTACGTCTATGTCGTATAGTTTTATTTAGACTGAATATATGGGTTTTGGACAAATGGCACATTATTTAAATGATCTAAATTTGATCGATTCCGGCCTGCAACATTTACAATAAACCAGCCTGCATACAATGTATTCCAAAATGCCCGATATGCAAACCTTGGTCTGTCTGTGGAAGTTACTGACAACATTTGTGTCTAAGGCGTAAACAGTCTGTGGCTTGGTTTGTCTCAGAGACTTTCTGGTCTTGAAATGTAAAGATTGTTTCTTTGATAGCCCCCTGTGAAAAGAAGGTAAAACATCACCACCACCGTCAACAACAACAACAGAAAACTGCCAAGTGTATTTGAGTGTTGAGTAATGTGTGAGCGGCTGTTTCGTCGGTTGATTCTATTGTTTAGCCGAAGAAAAGCCTTTTTATTTCAAGAACTGTGTGGAATTGTTTAAGTATTGTGCGGGGTTTTTTATTTTTTAAAACCCAAGTCACTGGTCGTCTTATTCTGAACGGAGAAAACAGTAAATGAGAGCCTGTCGGCATTCGTTATTTGAATAGTGTACTTCTACTAAACCTCGACATTCAAGCAGTCTACAAGTGGGTGGTTGGAGGACGTTTACTGGTGGGTCCTTCTTCTTTACTTTTCTGTTGTTTCTGTCTGTCTGTCTGACTTTCTCCCTGCACTAAATTACTAGTATTGTGTCCATGCATGTACTTTTCTTTATTCAAACAGGATGTCTACAAATGATGTGCTGAGTTATAGAACGGTCGCTTAAAAATTTGCTATATTATCGAAGAAGAAGATTCTGATTCTTTACTTTTTTACGTCACCCTGTAGCACCCACGGAGGTTTGTGCTCAGTGTTTCTTCGGTATATTTGCTTTGCTGTATGGCCTGTGTCTTCTTTCCTCCCTGTTTTCCTTTTCCCTCTTCCTGCCTCCTGTTTGTCTGCCCTGGACAGTGGCCGGATGTGACGCTCGCTGCGAACCGAGGTCGGAGGTGAAGTCTGGCGCGAACGCTATCGTCCTGATCAGCCATCTGCGAACTTACCACTGATCATCCCGCCCCCTTCAACCCCGCGATGTCTCAAGTCCCCATCCTTTCGTGAGACAGACTGCATTCTTACCTTAGAGCCAAGAGATCCACCGCCGCCGCAATGATCTATCTGTGTCTAGTGGGGCATTAAGCGTGTACAAAAGAAGAGGGGGGAAACTCCCCAGCCCCAGAACAAAGTTCTCTTGTGTGTGATAGTGATAGCTCTACTGTTGTACTTCCAGGTGGCATGACATTCTGGCTGAGTTCCCCAAGGCTCTCAAGGCGGTGAAACCACGCAGGAAGCAGCCTCTGCTTATTCTCAGCAATAAGGAAAACTTGCAGGTTGGTCATTTACATATATATATATATATATATATATATATATATATATATATATATATATATATATATATATATATATATATATATATATATATATATACACACATGTGTCTGTTTGTTTGTACTCTGTGTGTGTTGTGTTTGTGGGTGTGTGTCTGCATGTGTATATATGCGCGTGCACGTGCGCGAGCGGTTACATGAATGCGCTGAATGATGGACGAGTTGTCAAGTTGATTGCTTTTGTGGTACCCCGATATGGGTAAGACCTTTAATTGGACAGCTGCGTTGCTGACTCCCATGTGGGTTGTCGGTGTTGTACAATACAGTGAAACTATATTTCGTTATCCAACCTATTCCTAGCTATATTATGTGGCCGGTATCTAGTCAACTCCCCTGAGCTCAACAACATCAGCGTTGGGAATTAAATGTCAGCTTATGCATATGTGCGTGCTTGTTATTGTTAAATCTGTTGTTGTTTGTTTGTTGTTGGGTTGTTGTTGTTTTTTTTTTGGGGGGGTCGTTTTTTGTTTTTGCGTGTCCACCCAATAATGGTAGTGTTTCGTCAGGTAGTGTGCTTGATGACCAGAAGTATGATGTGGCTCCTCCGTGCTGCCGTTAACGGTGTGTGTGTGTGTGTGTGTGTGTGTGTGTGTGTGTGTGTGTGTGTGTGTGTAAACAAAATACCAAGGCTACTAGGGATGTGCCTGTGTCCTCGTGTGGACCACAGAGGTGTGGTGAAGGACGCAGAGTGAATGGTCTGGTTAGGTTAGCCTGCCTAATGTTGTTGGCACAGACGGGAAGGGTTGGGGAGGGGTGTCAGTTGTCCTCTTTTAAATTATTCAATCAGTGAGCCCATCTAAACGATTGCTTGTTGTTGAGACGCTTGATGGGGCCACTGTTAAGTCGTATTTTTACTATCTGGTTTTCCTGTCTATTTTGTATTTTTTTGAGCATCAAATGATCATTGTCATGTCGATGTGCTTCACTTTACATACTTACACTAAAGCAAATTATTGGTTTCGAACGTTGGTGTCATGATCTAGCGCCAGTAGCGTCGGATACAGAAAAATAATATTACAGAGGGAACAGAAGGAACAACAGAGTATGTGTAGATCTCTTGTAGATTCCATTGTATTTCATGCGTTCTACATTTGGTAGCAACTTCGTCTTTGGAAAAAACAGCGAAGCAAGTGTAAAGGGTTCGGTGGTAGAGGAAGAGAAATAAAGGTTCACCAGTGCTTTATCTTTCATGCTATTATTGAGGTTTTGTCTTATTTGATTTTGGCTTCCGTCTGTGTATAATATGTCCAGTCTTCAACTTTAATGTTTTTTGTCAGTTCTTTACTGAATCGACGACCGCCGATCAAGCGTGAATTAAATTGTGTCAAAGGGGTTGCAAAGCATATACAATACTTAAATCGGACAGTTGCTGTCTGATATTGATATTTTGAAAAATAAATCCAGTTATTATATCTAAGTTGTTGTTTCCCTCTCAGAGGTGGTATGGGGTGTGCAAAATGTACTACTTTAGAGAGCTTTTACTTTTTAAGATATGTGGTAGTAAGTAGCTTTGGTAAGAACCGTTTTCAATTTTAAAGCGCTCGCTGTGCTAACATTTTGAGTTTTCCTTAACTGGTTATCCAACTGTAGCCATTGTAAAAAATATATTATTGCGCCTTTTTGTCTTTTTGTCGGAGTCTGTGGTCCTAACAGGATAACGGGCAGCCAGCTGGGCAATACACCGCGGGTAGCCTGTCTATCTCACGTAACAGGTCATATGAAATAGTCGTTGACAGCAGATGGCGGTGGCCTCTCTGATGTGCTCAGAAACTGGTGTGGTTTTGTCAGTAGCCAACATTTTCGTACAAATAGTTCATGTTAAGATGATTGTGCGGTCAACATTTCGGTATGTATTGTTCAGGTATAGATGATGGTGCAGTCAGTATTTCGGTATTTATCATTCAGGTACAGATGATGGTGAAGTCAACTTTGACATATTGTTCAGGTAAAGAAAAAGGTGCAGTCGAGTTTTTGTGCGCACAGCTCAGATACTGAGCGGGTTATAGTGCAAACACAGTTGCTCGCGATGTGTTTTGGGGGCATATTCGACGCTGGTGTTAAAAGTTGAGGGGGTCAACAATGTTGTACAGTCTGTTCCTGAGTTCTGGTGGTCTTGCTGCCAACGATATCTAATGAGAGTTTATACTTGATTATTCACGTCTGTAAAATACCTTGCTGTTACATAATATCACATTGCTGTTTTATGAAATATTTCCCTTTTGCTCAGTTAAAGAAAACGACTCGTGCTTTAATTCATTATATTTCTTTTTAGTATGTTCCATTTCTTTCTGTATTGTAGATGGGTGGAAGGTCGTACTATTTTTTGTTACCTGTCCCCCCCCCCCCTTTTTTTGGGGGGGGGGGTTGTTTTGTTTTGTTTTGCTTTGCTATTCCCCAACGGCATGTGGCCGTCAGTGTCAATTTGTTCCCTGTTCATTTTAAACGAAATAAAACCCTTCATGCAGACGGGTGGAGGGTTCCAACAACTTTTCCCTCTGATGTGTCTGTTTTATCTTGGCCCAAGGCCTAAATGATGATTTATTTTACTCGAAGTTCAAAGTTCTCCTTTCTTGTCTGTCCCGACGCAGCCCGGATGTGACGTAGGTGGCGACTCAAGGTCAGAGGTGAAATCTCGCGTGGACGCCCCGGCTTTCACCACGTTCCGGGGCGTGCGCAGCCTCAAGCACAAGTACGACGCCAACTACCAGGACGGCATGCGCAAAAGCAGCAGCCTGCACGACCTCTCCTCGGAGCAAGAGCAGCAGGACATGCGCGACCGCCTTCGGTGCTCACGCTTCCTCAGTCACTCAGGGGACCGCCTAGACGTGCTCAGCCGCGACGCCACCTCCACATTTTCCCTGTCCAGCAACAAGAACAGCCACCCGGCAGATGCCCATCTCCCGAACGCGCCCTACTTTACGATGCCCAGAAGCACGTGGACGCGGACCGGACAGCCTGTTCCCCCAGCGTTCCTCACGCCTGCTAAAGGACTGAAATCGCAGCAAGCGACCTCTGGGTCTCACTCCTCCATATCTTCCACGACGTCTTCTCTAGGCGGCGGGGGTGTTCCTCCTCGAAGAGGCTCCTTTGACGAGCGCCCCGCCAGTTCTCAAGCCCCGGCAGGGAGGCTGCAGCGGGAACGGTCGTCCAGTCTGAAAGACTTCCCCACACAGCTTAGCCTGGCCCGGGACGGGGGTGAGGATCTGCCACATCACAGCATGAGCGCCGACGAGACGGACAGCAACGAGACGGATGAGCTCAAGGTGAGACTATTGTTTTGTGCGCCGACTTTGTTGTGTGCATGGTATAAGGCCTAAGGTTGGTGGGTTGTTGCTGCTGCAGTACTTTAGTTGAAGCTTAAAGGAGACTAGTCTATGGCTTTCATCGTTCGTAAGTACAAGGCTACAGTCGTTTTGAACGCTATACATCTGAGTGCTTTGGACGGACAATAGAAATAAAGAGGAAAAACGCAAAGATTCCTGAACTCTGTAGCACAGACAGATACATGCCCGTCTGTTCAGAGTGGTTGAATGTGTTTATTTTACTGGACTATTGTGTTCTTTATTCATCGCTTGACGTTCATTATGGCCGAGTCCGATAAGGATAAATTGCACGACGGTCTCGGTGAGAAGGACCCTGTGGGTTTTGCGTTCCCACAGTGTACCCAAAAGTCCTTGGAAGACTTTGCTGGATATTGGCGTTACACTATCCTTGCAAAGATAGACTGCATATGGATTTATACCGACATCTGAAATACAAAAGGGTAGATATCTGTTGGGTAATTGAGGGCGGGGGCAGCGTGGAGGTGTAAAGGTTTGAGACTGAATTCGTAATTTTCGTTGGAACTCTGCTTACTATTTACGATAATTGATTTTACGGCCTTTTTTATTTTGAAATATCAGGGTATTAATTAATCATGTGTGATCTAGGAAATGCTATTCGTTTAGATTTTGATAAAGGGAGATTTTCCGGTGTCTGTCTTTGCTAGGATAGTTATCACAACAAGGTGATATATAAGCGACTTGTCCGTTTGAAAGCTTTTTATGTTCACAAAAGGGCAACGTTCGGTCGGATTTCAACCCAAAAATGTGGTTACTGGCCCAGTTTTCATATGTTTTTATCTGTCAGTTAGTATTTTTTTTCTTTGCTTTTTTGTCACGAGCACCGGTTAGTTTTGCTGCATGTTCTGACCCCACTCCCCGTCCCCAGCCCCTGTCTTCTCCCACCCCATTTTCTTCTTTGTCTCTCTCCTGGGACTTTTTGCGGGTTGTTTTTATGCAGCATTAGAAATTGCATGTATGGCCTGGAATTGGATTTTTCCCCATCTTTTTTTCCCCCCGCAGCTATTGTTTTTTTGTTTTTTAAGTTGCGAAATATTGTATTTAAGTTTTGTTTATTCGCCCACCCTCTGTTCACGCTCATGTTCTTACTCACAGACACAGATAGAGTGGTTGGTTTGTTTATTTTTCGAAGGAATATGTATTTATTTATTTAAAGGAACAGAACACCCGGAAAGTTTTTTCATTTTTAGTTTACTTTGAAATTTACTCAAAACGAAACCGGCAAGGCGTTTGCCTTTTACTAGTGCGTCTTGTCGGATCCTACAACTAAGGCCTGCTTTTCGAGAGTTTTAAGAGGATATATAATGGATTACTGGTTCTCTAACTCTAATGTGGCAGGAGTTTTTAAAATTTTGTTTCAATCTAAGGGAATAGTCAATCATCCATAAAGCTTTATTGGCATTCTTGTGACCCAAGATTTTTGTGTTCGAACCTGCTGCACAAAAGTTGTACGAGAGTTCATTATATGAAGTATAGGTTTTGTGTATCGATTTTGGTCGTCTGCATGGCATGACTGACTCAATTTTAGCGTAGCTGTGGTTTGCATAGCATTTTGGTGTTTGTTAGTGTGTTGTGCTCGCATGTCGGGGTGCGGGCGGTTTGGGTGTTCCTCTCTTCGGTCATAAGTCATACGTCATGTTTAGCAATTTTTAAAAAAATATTAATTTTTTTTTGGGGGGGGGGGTGGTGGGGGGTGTCAACCTCCCTCCTCTTCCCCCCTTTCCATCTCCGAGTGGGTATGAGGTATATATCATACAGACCCATTGTAGATCAGTATGAAGTACCACCCTACACCTTCCAGGGGGAATTGGCATCTGCTCATATAGATGAGTAGTATTTACTCTGATGTACCTTTAAAAAAAATTTTAAAAACTCAAATCGATTCCTCCTTTTTCAAAATGGATTCTTTTGTCCTAGCACCGCGCTTCGAAAATGTCTTCTGTGTGACTTGAAGGCCATCGAACTTGTACAAAAGAAACCTACAAAAAGAAAATGATTGTTTAACGTTCTGCATGGTTTGACTGAGATAAGCACGTCTTGCGGGCGTGTTAGTGTCCGAACGCCTCAGCAAAGCTGTCTTCGTTCCTTTTATACACCATAAGACAAATAGTTCTCCTGGAGAAAGGAACGAACCTATCATGAAGTTATAGTTGTCTCTTTTTCATCCTAACAACTTTTAGCTAATATTGATCAGAACAATTTAAGTTTTTGTATAATTTGTCGTTCTTGTCCTTCTCCTATGGATGATTTAGATTTTGTATTGAACTTATCTCGTATGGAGATGCTGACTGGTATGTCAGTGACAAGCAGTACAACAGTTAGGCTAATTCAAATTGTGGCCATTGACTTAACTCCACCGAGACATGCCGATTTGTGTTACCATCCTGTGGGCAATGTTCTAACTTTGCCTGTACCTTTTGAAACTTCACTTGGACCCCCTCATCCGCCCCGTCTCTTCGTCGACCCTCCCACCCACCCACCTACCTACGCAACTGTAGATGGCGCGGAATTCGGAATTCAATGCCACTAGTAGGGCGCTGGGCCGCGCTCAGGCTGCAGGGGCGGGCCCGGCCGGCAGCAAATACGAGGCAAGTATCTCGCGCGTCCGTCTATGAAGGCGCTGACGACGGACGCACACCTGGTTTGGGGCATTTGTAGATGTGTAGTGGCTATTAACTTCTTGATATTTTTTCTCTCTCTTCCTGTTGCGTTGTTTTCTCTTCAAAGTATTGTTGGTTTTGTATGCGTGTTTGAATATGATATGTTTGAGATTTGGTTTTTGTTGCTGCATATACTTTTTTTCTCTCTTTGTTTTACGGTGCTTGCTCATATTTTATTCCTTCTTGGTTTTTTAGACCGACGCTGGCAAAAACTTTAAGTTACCTGAAATTAAAATGCCTTACTCGTATACTGATTTCTGAATGGCGTGCTTGCACATCATTTTGCATACTTACTTAACTCTTACTGTGCTGTGTATTTGAGCTATCTATTTGACCAGTGCGGTGGCAATATTTACTACCCCAAAGACTGATGGAATGGTGTGATCTGTATACTACATCTTTTTACTGAATATGCTTTTTGTTTAAAAAAAAATAAATTTACTTTTTCTGCCGTGTTGACATTGGCTAAACATCTATTAATCCTCTGCACTTTGTAATCCATCGAGCGAGGTTCATTTACTAATGGAGATTTTTCTTCGTCATTGCTGTCGTCGTCCTGATTATCGTTGTCGTCGTCGTATATGTGATGATCATTTTCATCATCGTTGTTATGGTCGTGCATGATCATCATCATCATCATCATCATCATCATCATCATCATCATCATCATCGTCATCGTCGTCGTCGTCATCAGCAGTAACATCATTGTCTTCGTTGCAGTTATCATCATCATCATCGTCGTCAGCAGCAGCAGTAGCAGCATCGCCATTATGTTTGTGAAATATGCCCCATGTTGTAATGCTGTAGTCTGTAGTCCTTCAGTTGGTCGAAAGCTGTCGTTCTGTGAAAAGTGCTTTTTTATGCCTGCAGCGTACTGTAGTCGGCGGTTGGTAGTCACTCTATTTCTTTTAACTCCTGAGCTCCGCTTTTCAGAGACTAGACTGCTGGTGTAACAAACGCTTGCGTAATACTCTTTGCTTATTCTTTGTCAACTATTTCTTTGCTGTAATGACAGGGGACTAGTTAATTGGTAGTGGGATTCTAGCGCACAGGTTTACCTGTGGAGATAGTCTTGGCTGATACTCCGATTTTTAGTTTGTTACTTCGTTTGGGGAAAGATATGGTTTCAGTTCACAATGGTGTGATTGGTGCCTTTTTTTAGGGTGGGGGGTGGGGTGGGGTCTTCTTAACCTGTACTATTCAGTTATAGATTTCTGTTGATATAACTGTTGGGACTTTTACTGGTTGGAAAAGCGTTTGATTTTTAGTTGATGATCCCCCATTTGTTCATGTGTTCCACTTGCCATGCAATTTTTAAAGAACTATACTTCTCATTTCGGCGGAGAAAAAAACAATGAATTTTGATTTACACGTTGAAACGCAATTTCCTGTTGGAATCGACGCTTTTATTCATTTAATGTTTTCTTTACTGTTTGTGTTTGTTTGGTTTAGCTCTTTACTACTTTTACAGGCAGTCCCGAGGTGTTATATTAGAACATAGTTGCAGTGAAGAGGTTAACGGCTAGTACCATGTTTCATGTTCGTTTGTTTTTGTGAGTCATTTCCAAATGGAGACTCGGAAGCGAGTTATTTGTGGTATGATCACATGTAGCTCACATAGGCTCTTACCTTCTTGGCGTACAGTTCTGTTGTTTTTTTTTAAACTACCAGCGTAATTCTTGGGGATCAGTTTCTCAAATTCTTCTCTCTGCTTATTTTTTTTCTCTTGCTCCTCACTAAATGATGTATTTATGCTGACTCATATCAACTTTGGAAAGGAGCTTTCCCATATGCGAAACAAATACATTGGAGACTAATTGTGTAAACTTTGGAGAAGGGTTGTGTTTTCTTGCTCCATTATCATTCTATATGACTAAGTAGTCTGAAGTACTAAAACTTTTAAGATAAATACGGAATGTCATTTTCTATCCAATTAACATTGTCAGGAATACTAAACCTAATGTTAAACTATAACGCCAGCGCAAATGAATTTGGATAACACTTTTTAGATGTCTTTATTTAATGTAAGTGATCATGTAATAGCATTTACTGTCAGGAAGGTTTCTGAATTTTGAAAATGTATTTTGATAGTTTTATTAATATAGTAATTTTTAGTGTCAAAGGGTACCCCTATTAAATCGAGGCTGCCAGAGAATTTGTCTTTACTGTTGTGATTTCTTGAAAGTCATTTTGTTATATTCTTAAACATTTGAATGTTTTCATTTCTAACAATTTTAAATGTCATCCCCATGCTTGGAGATTCATTTCTTACTTTTCATAATCCAAATAATGACCCAGAATTCATTGTATGTCAAATAAAAATGAAAATAACTTACCCCCCCCCCCAACCCCCGACCTTAAAGCGTCTCTGTGAAAAGTATACCAGTTCTGTCCAGTGTCTAGGTTTTTATAGATTTCAAGGAAAACAGCATGCATCTTCTGATCTTGGCGTAAATAGTATTCAATTGATGTATCGTTCTTTATTTTGCTTGACTTACGGACACATGGGTTTGTGTTTCACCAATTTAATTGCTTGTCTGGTCATCAGTTGTTTTCTCCTTTCCGACCCCCCCCCCCCTCCAACCCCACTTCCACTCTCCCCTCCCCATCTCCGCCTATACAGGACTTGGTGTACATGAAGAAAGGCTGGCTCATCAAGCAGACGCCTTCCGAGAAAGTGAGTATCCACTTCGTTCGTATTAAAACTGTGCAGACATGGGTGGTTAGTTGTAAGGCGACATTAGTTGACTTGATCTTTTATAATGCGATTAATTCTGTCGTCGGTTTTGCACGTGTGCGTGTGTGTGTAGTGGTTGTGGAAAAAGGGGGGGGGGGGGTTGAGCTCTAAATGGCCGTCGTTGTATCTATGAAATGATCTTTCCTTCCATTCATCTTGATATGTTACCATTGTGGCAGGGGACAATATTTTTGCCATCTATATGTAGGTTTATCGTGTGGATTTTCGTTGTTACCATTTATTCTTATTCTGTGAGACTCTTTCTATCTCACCCCGTCACAACATCACATGCTCCATCCCGTATACCGTATACAAATGAACTCATTTTGATATTGCAATGTTTCCACCCATATCCCTCCCCCACTCTCTCTCTCTCTCTCTCTCTCTCTCTCTCTCTCTCTCTCTCTCTCTCTCTCTCTCTCTTTCTCTCTCTTCCCTTTTCTTTCTCTCCTCTCTAGACCCCTTCTCTCCCTCCCTTCCTCCGTCCACACTTCATAAAAAACAGCAATTTGTGTTGTTTGGATGAATACTGTTTGAACCCGCCTCACACTCTATTTCCTCATCCCCCCCTTCCCCGTACGACAGGAGTCCAAAAAGCACTGGTTCGTGCTCGCTGGGAACTCTCTGCGCTACTACCAGGACGCCAAGGCCGAGGAGGGCAACGCCCTGGACGGACGCATTGACCTCTCCACCTGCTACGAGGTGTCTGAGCTCACCACACACAGGAACTACGGCTTCAAGATCAAGGTAGGCCCTCGAGCACAACAATCATTGTGAGAAGATTCATCTTCTTCTTCTTCTTTTCAGTATTACTTAATATATTATCCTAATCTGTTTCTGGCTGAGTGTGACCGTTCTCTGTCCCAACAACGCCTTATTTTTTGTTCGTTTGTTTATGTCTTGTATGTTTTGTGGTGTTGTTTTATTTTCTCTGTGGTATCTTTGTATTTGTGCTTTTTTTGGTGAAGAAATGGGGAATTAAATATTTATTAATTTAAAAAATTTATTTTTATTATTTATTTATTTATTTATTTATTTATTTTTTTTTTTTTTGGGGGGGGGGGGGGGTGCGTTTATGTCCTTTCTCTGCCTGTCTCAGACACTCTGAAAAGAATCATGTAATATGGTTATGTTAACGTATATTTCCGTACGAGTAGATGAACGCCAGTTTGTTTGACCTGCAGAAAATTTATGAGACAGAATACGTGTTTGTGGTTTTGATATCTTTTGACAAGTACACATATCCTTTTTGTCCCTTTTTTTGTGGAAACGTTGGGGGAGGTCCCCGGAAAATTGGGCAACGTCTAAGGATCTGGCTCACATGTCATTCTACCCCTCTGAAGACTAATAATGGAATTAGTCCTGTGGTATTTATTTGTTTTGTATTGAGGTGTATGCTCATGTGTCCGTATGAGCGATGTTAGGGGGGAAAAAAAGACCGGGAGGGGGGGGGGGTAGTAGAAATAAGACGTCAGCAATTACCCTATGTTCCATAGACCTAGTAGTATTCTTCAGAACAAATCACCGTCGAATTACCCATAGTCAATATCTTGGTTGTTCTCTCATTAAGCTAAGTGTCCCTGAAAATTGACGACCTTCTGGCGTAACGATATCGTTGCGGTGAATCACTTTCTTCGGCTCCTCACAGCTGTAGGACCTATATCTGTTTCATAAATTTTCAGCAGTCTTTGGTTGTCAACTACACATATATTATTATGCCTGCAAGATCTCACTGTTGTTTTTTGCATGGTTCTATAATGATTATATTATCATTATACTCCTTCTTAAACTTGAAATTATGTTCTTACGCACAGTCACCTGTGAATGAGTTAATCAAGCTCTGAGGGCTGGAATCATATGTTTCTCCCCCCTCCCCCTCCCAGACCTATAGAATATGGGTGGCTGGAACGCTGCGCATCCATGGTGCCTCCTCATTCCAACTCTTCAATAGCACGGCTGAACGCCTCTTGCTTTTTCGCCGAGCGAAATGTGACAGCTAGTGCGTCATACGTATTTCTCTGAAAATGAGGAGCCCCAATATGGAAAGCAACAGAGAAGTCCTGAGTGGCATCGGTAGCCTAGTGGTTAGGCTACCGGACTCGTAATCGTGAGATTGCGGGTTCGGGGGTTCGAGCCTCAGCTCGGTCCGACGTCGTCGTCGTGTCCTTGGAAAGGCACTTTACACGAATTTCCCACTTGGCTCGGTCCTTTCGGAGACGGACGTTAAACTAGGAGGCCCCTCCTCTTAAATAACCTAATAGTGTTAATAGGGGCGTTAAACCCACACCATTTCATTTTCAGAGAAGTCCTAGGAGTTTAGTAAAGAATATGGTGGTGGTTTTTTACTCACCGAGAAGACCATGTGGTCCTCCATTATTGTTTTTCTTTCCTTCTCGTCTTTGGAGATTATCTTATTTATTTGCTTTTTTCTCCTGACATAAGCAATATGGCATACTTTAAAAAGCTTTTTATAGATTATATAGCAAGGAATTTATATCTAAAGTACACATGTATATTTAAAAAAATGTTCATTCCACTTTTTTATACGAGGGGTTCTATGACTTTACGTCTATTAGTACAGTAGTAGGTGGTTGGAGGTTTGATATTTTA